AACGTAGTAAGGTGTGTGCCATGGGGAAAGTCGGATATAGACGCACGGTTGTTGATGATGACCTGGATCGTGAATGAAGTCATAGAGGTCCGGAAACCGTGCCCGCAATGAGCGAAGATGTCGCGTGTCGGCAAAAGTGGAGTGCATAATTTCACACAGGAGAGAAGCCTTGTAGAAGTGAAGGACTTCAAAGAACGGTGGAAAGTAGCCATGATCTTGGGAAATGAGACGTTGCAAGAAACTGATCAATAAATAGGCAGTGCACCGACATCTATGAAGCTCATACCTGTTGGCCACAGTGTGTTGAGAGTGTGACATAGCGTGATTCGGAATCTGAAGGGCAATCCGGACCACAACTAAGACTTCCAGAATGAGGCCCAACCACGGTAGTTGTGTGATTGATTCGTACTCATCAGCTGGTATCGACGGTGGTGGTAGTCCAGGGAAGCAGTATTGCCAGCACGTAGAGAACATGGTCAACGAATGTAAAAAGTTGTGCAGAGACTGCCATTGTGCAACATCATCATAGATTCCACAGCGGCGAAGCTCAGCCAACATGGTGAAAATGCAACCAATGAAATCTACCATAAGGCGGCGACATGGATACAAGCTGCGCAGACAATCACGCACAAGGCAATGCAAGCACAACCAAGCACAAGATCAAACTGATGCAACGCAAAAAGATGACGGACGAGCTTTAACCTTGACTCATCCGTGACACGGTTGCCGCTCCGGGCTCATAGGAGAACGAAGGTCGTTAAGATGCCTGCTCATCCGCAGAGTAAGCGAGCGGTCACGATGAGGTGACTCAATGCCTTCTCAGTGAGCTTGGTGAGATAGCCGGGCTCCAGTCCCCACGAAGCCGCCATCGCCCCGAGAGTAGGTGCGTCGCCTTTCGGCATGCGTTGACGCGCCTGAAGGAGCTGCGTCGCCATGGCATCTAATGACTTGTTGCCGTTGAGCCGGGACGGGTGATTGGCCCACTTGACCAGTGACGTCAAAGTTGTGGTTGTGGGCGCTTGCTTGAGATAAAGGCGTGGCTGGTCACTGGTCCATGTGTAGTACGTGACAACTTCTTCCGGCGTGCTGTGCATGGTGAGCAATTGTGACGCTGCCGGCTTGGACGGCGGTGAAGACACTCCGTGAAGAGACTGAATGATCCGGGGTTGCACCGCGCTATCAAACGACTTGCCATCAAGGGCCGCTGCGCTGGCCGTAGGGAGGGAGCTGGCAGGTGACGAGGATTGTGTGTGGTTGACCGGTGGCGGTGTAACCAACTCTGCGTCATCTTTCTGGCTTGCCATCGTGGGGGAGGTCGAAGCGCGCAGCGATGCTGAATACTGAGCCTGGAGCAGCTCATGCGCACGATTTAGATCATTGTACTTCTTGACCATGTCATCTGTCTGGGTGGAAGGTGTGAGAGAAGCGTGGTGTTGCTGAAGAAATTGAAGTACCAAGCTGGCCAAATGGTCATGAACCTTGATCCGCTGATTGAAGTCATCGATGTTGAGACCCAGCGAGTTGGCAAGGTCCTTTTCCAGGGTGAGCAGGTTGATCGACTGTGATCGTCGTAGTAGTTTGGAACAGGTACTCCAAAGCAAGGCCTCGGTGCGAGTGCGAAAGCCTTCCCACGTCACGAATCTGCCGTGAGCGAACGGTCGGAGCAGCCAGTTGGTGAGTCCCCCATGAATAACCTGAACCAGGCGAACGTCACGAATATCCATGCCTGACATGTCGCGCAGGTTGCCATGCGGAGTGTTGGCAACGGTCATGGGTAGGCTGAAGTTGTAGAGCTGATTGACATCAAACATGCCATCTCCAGGTGTCCAGTCAGGCGATGGTGTAAGCCAGGCTTTCTGAGGACGAACCGGTAGAGCCGCAGGAGGTCCCGGTGGCGGTGTAGGTTGCGGGGTAGTGACCGGTGGTGGCATCACGGGTGGCATGAACTTCGTTGGCGTGGGGTCTGGAGGGATCGGCATCATGTAGTTGATCGCTGGATGTTGGAATTGCTGTGTGGGACTATGAGTCGATTGAAAATTGGTGGGCATCATCGGGAAATTGTTGGCAGAGTTATAGCCGGAATTGTGTTGCCAAGATACCAGGTTGTTCCAATCCATGCCTTCCGAGACGTGGTGGTCATTGTGTTCACGTCGGTGTGCTTTACGAGCTTGAGGAGAAGTACTCCGATCACGTCTGCGCCGAGTCCTGGATCTATCACGATCATCACGTCGAGACATGGTTACACAATCGACTCTCAATCTTCACGCTTCCACCTTGAGAGACACGTATCAGACAACATGCAAATCCATGCAACGGCAAGGTATCAGCAAATCCAACAAATGGCAAGCAAACGCAAACATCAGTGGTGAGACGTCTCCTTTAGTGAAACCTCGTTCCTGGTTAAATGTGAAATTCCGCTGTTCTATGATAAGCACGTTGAGGTCAAATTTTCCGACAGAGCCGGCCCGGGGTCACACAATGGGTACACCCGAGGATTCCCCACGAATGGGGTGTACACACTTAAACTCCAAATGGAGAGTGCTAATCTTTCGAGTACAACCGATGAGTCTCGAGTACAACTGATAAGTCTCGAGTATGATGAGCTTCGACTCGCATAACGCTTGGCTTCCCTGTAGCTACTTTAACAGGGACACACAGAAGCAACGGCAGTTCAGGGGGGGGACCAAAAGGACATTCACAAACATCACAATTGCAGGTACGTCCAGCTGATCAGGCTGGATATCACGAGTTAACAGCGAGCGTCTTCGTTGGCGCAGGACTCACTGAAACTCCCTGCGCCCCCTGCTGAGAAACCGAAAAGGTGGTGACAGGGCATTCTGTCACTCCGCACACACACACACACGCACAATGAAGCTGCGATATGTGCCACCAAGTAGCCGTGGATGCTCCGCGGGAAAGCCGTGGTAGAAGTTGCCCAGAAATTCAACCACTTCACGCCTCTCCGGGTGGTATGCATCGGGCCGCACCGCGCGCTTTGGAATCAGACCTGCGAACTCTTTGCCGGACCAGGTGCCGGTAGCTGCATCAGATCCTCCAACACGTCAAAACAATCGCTTGCTGCGCACAAAAAGTTCGATGAGGACAATACGTGTGCGCCAACCTCTGCCGCATGCGCTGCACAGAATTGCCGAGGTTTGCCAGTAGCATCTGGATAATTTGCGTGCTTTCCGCACACAAGGCACCTCAAACTTAAAATGTGTTCCATTCCATCCTCTCGGAAGTTGGCACAGCAAGTTGCCCGAGCGTCACCTGGCCCCGAAAGAAGGTTGGGCTCTGCCGCACCTGCATTTGGGGCTCTTGATGTTCACCATCCCATCCTCTTTGCAGTTGGCACAGCAAGTTGCCCGAGCATCTTCGTAGCCCACGAAGTGCGCGCGGCAAACAGGGTTCCGGTGGAAGGATACATCCAACAACCGCCTGTTTTACAAAGGGTTCCTCTGAATCAGCTGGTAAGGATGACTTGTTGGCCCAAATGTATTCTTCGAGGGACTGCGTCAAAGACCAGCTACTTGTACTGAGAAAATCACCTGACAAGTTTGCTTCGCGTGTTTGCTGACCAACTCACTTGCTAGCTGACCACCAACCAGTCACCCAACCAAGCCACCAACCCCTCAAACAGCCAAAGAACCGGCCAATGAAACCACCGCCCGCTTCGACAAACAAACAAGCAAACACAACTGACCAGTGTCCTCTTGATCAGCTCCCCGTCTAAGCGAAACACAGACAGAACTGCCTCAGATTTCCTACTCCCCAAGAGACTAGTGAATATACCAACATGTCCCATTCCAAATACTGGATCAATATTGAGACATGATTGTGGATTCAATGATCAGCTAGTGGGCCCAGGAATGGAGCTCTTCGTCCGAAGAGTTCCCGGTGACATCTATCCAACAAGGCACCCCTTTCGATGGTTTTCCCTAAGCAATGTGAATTGATGCACCGGGGCATGCACTTGCCCAAAACCCATTGTGTCCAAAGGGAGGAAGTGACCCAAAAAATGTGAGAGGTTCCCTCGACCAAAAAAAGCACACACACACACACACACACACACACACAAGAGCACTATGTTCAGATTCCTACTTTTTGGATTGGTGGTTTGGAGGTTGAGTGGTTTCCCATTCAAGTACCCACTAGAGCCAGGAGTTCAAATCCAAACTGCAAATTCAGGGCCTGATATGTTGCACGGTCAAGACTCCTTATATGCCTATGGTCATGGTTCCCGTAGGAATCAGTGTGATGGTTCCCAGGTTCATGACCATCCCTGCGCCCAGGTAAAGCGGTCTTTTGACCGCGTGGATTGATGTAACTGGACAAACACCCCGTATCAGCTGGGTCGGGGGGACGACGGAGCCCAGGTGCGGCCTATGGCATGAAACCAAAACCAGTGGAACCCCTCGATTTCATCGTCCAAACCTATCAAAAGGACTATGGGTTCTTCAGCCACAAGACAAATGCATGAACTACCAAGAAACTATGGGCTCACCAAACTCGCCTATGCGAACCAAGAATACTAATGCTGACCCCCGATTCATAAACCAACTCCCCCCTTTTTAAGGGGGCTCCCTTCTTACTGGCGGACCCCCCACTCTCTTCCAGGAGAAAAAAAATGAAGAAAACAAAAACACCTCACTCAGAACTGCGGGAGCCGTTCAATCCACCTGTTTCCTGGGCTTGAGTTTCAGTCAAATCCCTGGGGTTAGGTTCGCCTTCTTGCGAGTCCATGGCTCACGGCCAAAACCCACGGCTCCAAACTCAGCGGATTTCCAGACCCGGTTTTCCCGGGGGAAAAAAACACTCGCCAGAATCCATAAGAATTCGACCCAGGTGCTCCCTCAAAACCCAGTCCAAGGAAAGTCAGCGGAGGCTTTTTGGGGGGAAGACCTGGGTCGAATTCCCATGGATTTGGGTGAGTGTTTTGGGGGGAAGCCTAGCAAGGAATCAGGTTTCCATGGATTGGACTGGATTGGTCCAAACCCCGCCTCCCAGAGCTGCCGCGCCGCGGCGCGCTGCACCTCCGCCTCCCTGGCCTCCAAACAAACCCGCGGGCGGCTGAGTTTCGGGAAGAAGGCGGGGAAATTCGTGGCGTGTCCGTGGTTTTCCAAAAAATTAGCGTTTTCCCGCGGTTTTCCAAAAAAAATGTGGTTTTCCACGGTTGTCCCCAAAAATTCGTGGTTTCCCCCACGGTTTGTCCCAAAGAAAGAACAGTGGGTTCTGGAAGGTTCCGGAAAATGAGTGTTTGTTGTACCGAAAGTTAGAAGAGTGGGGTCTGGAAAAGCGACCAATCTGGGGTTCTTGGAAAATAGGTGTGCCTTAAAGAGGGGAAGACGTTCTGACAAATAGAGAACGTTGCTTTGGATATCCTTTTTCACATGGGCACGAAAGGACAAGTGCGTACCCTCCATGGAACATGGTAGACAAAAAAATGAAATGGACACTTTGGAAAGTTCCGTGGTGGACGGAAGGGCACGTCTTTTTTGGGCAACCCCCCCTGTTGAAGGGAATCCAAAAGGAAGACTGCCATGCTATGTGTTTTCTGGGTGAGGGGGATCACTTTGAGGCAAACACACCCCGATTCATCCGACAGATGTAGAAAAGTATGAGGTGCACATGATGTGTCTGGGTATTCTCTTGCTGGCACTCAGTAGGGAATGAGGAAATGAACCTGGGGATTCCCTCAAAGGAAACCACCACAAGTTGGGTGGTTTTTCATTTTCTGCTGAGCACCAGCAAGTTTTTTGGAGGGACACCACATGGACAACTCGCCCCGTCCCCGTTCAGAGACGATCCACTTCCAGGTGTGTTCCGACCCCCAACCTGGTTGTGGCCCTTTTCATCCAAAGCGCCCAACACCCATCGACTTGTTCATTCCAGTGCGCATATAAGCCCATGCAATTAGCCCATATAGTTAGAGTGCCCAAAACCCCATCACAGCATGGCTTACATGGGCATTTTTCGCATCAGTAAACCCCAGACACCACCTATGGCCATGCCGGTCCCTCGAGACGCGCCTTCAGCTGGCCCTCCGAGGGCGGCCTCGGCTTGGAATTACAACCGGGGGTAACATGGAAGATAACATGGAAGGGAACTCAAAGAGGATCCAACAAAACCCTTGAATTTTCCAACAGAAATGGGTGGTTGCCCCAAAATGATGGGGTGAAACGTTTTGCTATGGGTATTTTGAAAAGGGTAATTTGACTATCCGAAGGACCTCCAGTGTGGTTTGGGAAGGGCAGTTCCCCAAAAGCTTGTATTAAAAAAAAGGGAACCCTCAAATTCAAATCAGGCAATTACACGAATGAATTACAAGGGAGGCACAGTTGCTTCAGGCACCTGCTTGCGGAGGACATTCCGTCGGCAAGGCAGCAACTGCTTCCTCTTGCGCTTGCTCTTTCAGCGGGACACACTCTGAGAGACTTGCTTCTGCGTCCCCATGAATGTCTGATTTGTTGTTTTTACTATTCCCTCTGCTTCGTCTTCTTCTTCTTCTTCTTCTTCTGCTTCTTCTTCTTCTTCTTCTTCTTTTGTGGGGGGCCGCTTGACCAGTTCTGCAGTCAGAGCTTTCTGAGACCAGACCTGTCTTCTGGGGGCAGCTTGTAGAGCTGGATATACCCAGCTGTAGGTCGTTCTTGGTTTTTGTTGCTGGGGGGTCTTGGGAGCTTTCGGGGTTGGCCTGAGGCAGCTGCCGGTGTTTCCCTCAACCATGGCTCCCTGAAGAAAAAAAAGCCGAAGCAATCCCGCAGAGTCGCTGGCTTTTTTCGCCGGTTCACCAAGACGCCTTGAAGGAGTGGCTTGGGTCACAGCCTAACGGAGCTTTCAGAAAGGGAAGGACCCCCATTGTCTTACCATGATCAAGAAGTCATCCGCCAAATGAAAGGGACTTGCCCCGGGTTGCTGGCTCTGACACCCAAAAACCATCCAGGACCAGCCCAGGGAAAACGGGTGCCTTTTTTGGGGGGGAGGAACCGGACCCCTCAACATGGATTTCGGTTTTCCCCATGCCTTCCCTGTAAAAAACCATAAAGAAGGAACAAAAACAACGAGGTACCGAGCCTCCGTTCGACCAGTTGACAGACCCTCCAAAAACCCACCGCTCCATGGCTGAAGCGCGTCAGCCCGGGCCCCCAGGCTTCGGGGCCTGCCTTGGCTGCGAGCCTCGCAGGTCGACGCCGAGTCCCGAAGTTTTTGGCCCAACTTCTCTGGCTTGAAATTTGGACAGGGTACGTTTCGCAGGAGATGGATTTTTTTTTGGAAGTACGTTTCGCATGGGGGAGATGGGATCCATGAGCCCAGATGGGAAAGCAACTGAACATGTTTGCGTCCAAACCAGGGACATTAGTGCTGACTCCGTGCCACACGCGCCTCGCCGCCGGAGCGAGGGTGGTGCTTTGCGCTGGCCTGGCAAGTCGACTGCGCTCATGCTACGCAGAACTACAGTCTCTCTCGTTTCACTTTGAGCACTTGACCACGACACTTCCGGACTACACATGCTGTGACTGCCCTGTCACTTTGGTGCTGGTTGGGACGCCTAGTGCATATGAACTTGAAATCCGGCTTCTCCTGAACTCTCTTGTGGCGGGGCTGACCGAAATGTACGCCCAGAATGGAAGGGAGCCAGGATCATCACAGAGAATGCACCCTTCCGGAAAAACAATCCCGTCTCATGGGCAGACGTGTTTTCTGCCTTACTAGGTCCGATTCGTTTGGTCATGCTGGCCTTTTTTCTTAGGGCTGGCAACATCCTAAGCATCTGGACCATTGGCCGCATGAGCATCTCCAGCATCTCCAGCCTTTGGGGCTGCATACTGACTCTGATTTGGTGACAGTTGAGAGTTGCTCGGGGCTTCTCTGGTGTGGGTTCTAGGCTGGCTTAGATCTTTTTGAGGGGTTGGCTTGGCTGATTTGTGCCAGGTGTGTGGCTGGTTTAGCAGGGGCTTTAGGATTCCTTCAGAAGGTGGTTACGTGGGCTTTGGGCTGGTTTGGCAGTGGTGTTGCGGCGTTGCCCCAAACCACTAAAATGAGCCCAAACTGCCTCAGACCCCGAAAATGCATCGGACCTTCTCCCCACATGTGGCTTGTCAGTCTCCTGTTTGGTTCCTGCAAAAGCCAATGAAGCAAGGCTCCTTTCCCAACAAACCCGAACATCAGAGATTGTCCCGCGGTTTTTGCCCTTAAAATCCACCCACCCACCCACCCACCCCAAAAAAAAAATTCACACCCACACACACACACACACAAAACAAAAAACCCCACAAGACCGGGCTGACACACACCACACACACCCATCCGCTCCATCGACCCATCGGCGCAGTTTTCCTCTAGGTGGCGACCTTCCATGTCCATTCATAGGTGTCCTTTTAGGTTGGAAATAGATGGGTGGCCCTGGTAGATGAGAAAAAACCACCAGGGAAACCAGGAATCGAAGCCCATCTATTTTTCTGGCAAAACATCCAAAAAGGACACCTATGTTTCCATTCTTAACCCGATCCGAAGCTTTCCAGAAAACCTCCAGACACCCAGGTTGAAAACGGCTCCGGGGTTTTGAGAAGAATGATTGAAAGGCGTGGACAAGGACTCAACCCCTAGACTGGTGGTTTCCCTTCAGATGTGCCATGGGCAAGAAATTCCCTTACTTACCCCTTAAAACTCCAAGCCCTGGGGAAGTTAATCTTTTACAGACATACAGCCCATGTTGCCCCCAAAAAGTTGAGAAAAGTTGTGTGTTTTCAGAGGTAAGCTTAGGGATGTTGCGGTAGATGGTCATCACATCAACCATTTCGGCTCCATGCCTTCGCTCTCCATCTCTAGAGCCTGCGCTCCGAATTCCATGCGGAGCGGTGCGCCGGATGCCCCTGGGAAAAAATGACTCCGGCAGCAGCTTGGTGGCTGCAAGGACACCTCTGCAAAAAGGCTGAACTGTTTTTGTGGGTTGAGTGGATAAAAACCCTTCGTTTCAACTAAAAAGACCCAATAGCAGTCAAGACAAATGCGCCGGATTCTGGTGACATCTGGACATGGGTGAAGAGACGGGGGGGAATCAACTCTGGTGGAAAAAGAATCAACAACGATCTGAAACGGTGCTTGGGAGAGGAAGCGGTCGCCTTTTCCATGGAAGGTAAAGGCTTGCAAGACAACGCTTCTGAAGAGCTTACCCAGACAACTTCTGAAGAGCCGACCCTGACGCTTGTGGCTTATGACTCCAACTACCCATTTTGATTTGGGAATGCCAACTCCGGCTAAACAGAGGCATTTGCCTTTGAAGACCATATCTTTAAGTGTATCTCCTAAACGAAGCGGTTGCGTGGAGGAGTGGGTCTGCACCCTCAACCCAAAGCCATGATAAAACTTAGCAAAGCAATATGCAGAACACACCACTTTTGAGGTGGATCAAATCACAGCTACTGTTGTCAGCATTTGGGATACTGTCAGCCAAAATCCGTCCTATGGCAGGGTTCGAAACTGCCATCGATCCCCGCGAAAAAAAGCATAAAGCCATCGACCAAACCGACATGAAAAGCCGCCTCTGGCATCTCGCACGGCTCATCCTCGCCCTTTTGACCGGAACCATCGAAGATTTCTGGATTTGGGATACTGTCAGTGGCTGTCGGCGCCCTTTCAAAGGATCATCCTCGAAAGCCGCCGAGGCACGAGGCGCACCACGTAGCGGCCAAGGTAGTGGTGCCGGCCTGGGCGCGCGCGCGGAAGTGCTTGAGTGGCCACGAAGACCCAAACCAGAAACCGGAGGTGGGCCAAGGCCTTGTTCAACAAGAGGAAAATGGTTTCAACAGGTTGCAAGCGCCAAGTGTTCAAACATCTTCCTTTTGGTTTCCCCTTCCATGGCCAGTGGTTGTGTCAGCCAACAACATGCCCAGTCCTTGACACCCCGAGGCCCAGCACAACCCTCTCCGAGACAGGTGGTTGCTTCTGGAGCGATCCATGGATCAGAAGAGGCGCAGAAGGTTCCTCCCGAACCGCAAGCCCCAAGGTTCGCTGGACCTCTCAGGGAAAAGGGGGGGGTCAAGAGCCCAGGTTCGAACCAAAGGTTGCGAACTTGGAGCCACAAGGGCCAACAGGAGCCCCAGCAGAGATCAAGACAATCCGGCCTTCCCTCCCGGTTCCCAGACCTTTCCACACATTTGCTCCAAATCTTGAGATGAGTTTGGAGCCAAGTTTCCCGGCGCGACAGTGTGACGGGCAAAATGAACACATGCGAAATTCTGCCTCCCGGCTCACGACACCTCTTCACGACCTGCGGGTGGTTCGTTTCTTCGACAAGCCGCACAAAACACCCTGTAGCCAAAGAGAAACCCGAGAAACCAAACAAAAAATCGTGGCCTCCTCTCCTCCTCTCCTCCCCTCCCCCTCTCTCCTCCCTCCCCCTCCTCCTCTCCTCCTCTCCTCCTCTCCTCCCCTCCCCTCCCCCTCTCTCCTCGCCTCCATCCGCTCTCCTCCCCTCTCCTCCGCTCCCCTCCCCTCTCCTCTCCTCCTCTCCCACTTCATCCGAGGGCTCCGGGCAGTACACCGCGCGCAGCAAGATCCCCGCGAGCGCCGGGCTCAGCAGGTCCCTCGCGCCTTTCAGGGGTCCGCCCTTGCCCTCGCCGGTCCCCCGGTTGCTGCGCTCCAAGTGGTTGGGTGTGTCGTTCTTTTGGGGACCCAAAATTGTGGCCTGCCTTTTGGTGATTCAATTGGTGGTTTGGAGCCCGGTGGTTCGGTTCGGTGTTCCGGGCTTGGTTTGGTTTGAGTGATCAGCCAGCAGGGAAGACCACACACCTGTCATGAGGATCCTGGAGCTCTTTCCAGCAGTCGATGGTGACTTTGGGACGTACACTTTTGTCGACTCTCTGACAGCAAAAAATTCACCGCAGCATATTTTGACCATAGGCTCCTGCATTCATGCGAATCCCCGACGGGGTCCACTCGCATCTCCCCCCAAAAGCATCATGGCAATGGAGCTTTCTTTTTGCTGGGTATATGCTTGTCTTGTTCGGGGAGGGGCCACCAGTCTTTGGCTTTTTATGTTTAACCCCGCCAAAGTCAACGCTTCAAGGAGGGGCCGCCAGTCAGGTACCCCAACCCCCGGTTCTGGGGAGCAAATGGGAGCCCCGCATCCCCGGAACACAAACCAAACGCTCCAACCCACCGGGCTCCAAACCAATTGGAGGGAAGCTGGTGATTTTTTGAATGGTTGCCTTTTTGGGGTGGAAGGGAAACCTGGACTGAGTTCGCCCAGAGTCCATGGAAAAATGAGCAAATAGCACTCCCAAGATGCGCCAAAAGCTCCTTGTTGAAGGACAAGGACCGACAGAGAGTCAGGAAGAGAGCATGACAAGACAAGAGCTGCTGCACACAACTTCATGGTAGCCAATCTGCTCAGGGAGGTTGCTTTCAAGCGCAGCACATGTAAAGCAAGGAGCTTGAATATTTCGGCCGTCAGTCCCGCGCCTGCCAGCACCTTCGCCGGCGGCGAAACGCTTGCCGAGGGGCGCCTTGGAGCGCCGAGCTTGGGGGGGACAGGTGAGTTGAGTCAACAAAACCTGGGGTAAAGCTCATGCTGACCCCATATTCATAGGGGGTGGGGGACGCCTGGGGCGCCAAGTGGTCTGATTCCCCACTAAACCCAGGGAGAAGCAACCCCCCAAAGAAAAACTGGGGTTGATGCATATGGGGTCAACATTAACAACCTGTCAGCCGGCCAAAAAGGTGTCCCTTTCTTTGGAACGCTCCCATGTCAGGAAGATCTACCCCAAAGAACATGTGCAGAATCAAACCGGCCGGAGATCCGCGCCAATTCGTCTGGATGCATCCAGGGTCTGGTCTTGGTCTGGCCCAACCCTGGACCCCGCAACCATCATAGCCCGAGGATGCTCATGCGTGGGGTGCTGGCAGAAAGGGTGAAGGACTAGTTTTGGCCTAGAAGTTGAAAGGCGGCACAAACACCAAGGCTCCAAATGTGGTCAAAAAGAATTGCCCCCTTTGAAAGGCCCCCTTTTTTAAAGGTGGGAACATGAACCATGGCCCAAAAAGGAGGCCACTCATTGTTGGGAACCCATGGTGACAGACGGCTTGCCTCTCTGTGACTGAGGTCCAGGCCCCACGGTCTTCTGGGTGGCCCAAAAAACCACGCACCTTCCCCCCGCCACCCCCCCACCCCCCCACCCACCCCACCCCACCCCCCCACCCACCCCACCCACCCCACCCACCCCACCCACCCCACCCACCCCACCCACCCCACCCACCCCACCCACCCCACCCACCCCACCCACCCCACCCACCCCACCCACCCCACCCACCCCACCCACCCCACCCACCCCACCCACCCCATCCAGCCGAGCGAGAAAACGCGCACCATGCGGTTTTGGGGGTCCGACTCTTCGCATGGAACCCAAGCAATCGGACCATGACCCCCCAGTGGCCATGCCCTCAGAAGAAAATCAAAAGCCCTCAGCCCCCGGCCCCGGCAGCCCAAGCTGAGGGGGGGGGGTTTGGGGGGGACCTATTTGGGTGTGTCTGTTTTTCTTGGGGGGGGGACCCCTGGACATCATGGTTTTCCTTTTGGTTTCCCTTTCTTACCTACCACAAAAGGGCGTACCAGCTCCAAAAATGAACGAGCCAAACCTTTTGCAAAACCTCCACACATTGCCTCCCCCCCTTCCCCCCCAAGGTCCGTGCCAACATGGAGGTGCTGTCCACCTGATCAACGTCAGCCCATCCTCTCCCCCAACCCCCCCCCATCCCGGCAGGGTGTTTGGTTGAAGCGTCTTCGTTGCCAATCCAGGCGCTTGGTCAAGAACAAAAAGCAATGCCATCCCCTTCCCCCCCCGGTTTTTTTGGTTGACGTTGCTAAGAATTCAGGCGCTTGGTTAAGAACCGGGATGTCTGTCGCAAAAGTCCTGAGGCTTCGGTCGAACCACAAGACAGGACCCCACACCCATCGGTCTGTCAAGTTCCTATACTTTCTGCCACCCAGCGCCCCCTGTTCGCACGATCCAGACCTCAGCTTTCATGAGGCCTCGTGTTCGACTCATTTCCACGGCAACAAGCACCGAAGCCGGGATTTTCAGATTCCATCGGCTCCCTTCTCCATCTGCGCGGCTGGTGGCAGCATTCACACAAAGAAATGAGAGAGTTAACACAGAGCGGTCAGTGAGGCTTCGCCGCTCGCCCCTCACTTGGCACCCTGCAAAGCGCCGTTGAAGCAATGGAATCCCTCTACATGCGGACGCGGCATTCTATGATTGTCCACCAAATATGAAGGGGACATATGGCGGCTCAAAACCCAGGAAACCCCTTGGTGAACCTCAAATAGGGTGGTTTTCTGGGCGTTCCTCCCCAAACTGTTCATCTGCCATAGGCTGTGACTCCCATGGCCTCCCGTCCCCCAGAAGTGCGCCTCAGTCCGAAAATGCCTCGGCCGCACATCGCGTCGCGCGCGCTTTGCATCCCGAGTTCCGGAAGCACGAGGCACCACCGCGCGACGGCGCGACGCGAAGGGGGAAGGGGAGGGGAGGGGGCGGGTCCAACCTCATTTGCGAACACCTAAGCAACCTCTTCCGACAAGGGCCAATTTGGAGCGATTTGCAACACGGCAACTTGCTATGTGGCAGAAGTACATGTGTCAAGCCAAGTGCTCAGAGTACCACGATGCTAGGTGACCAGGGCTTCTTGCCGCCTGGTTAGCTGGGTAAGGTCTTACCTTGCACCAGGCTTTGCCAAAGAGATCTTTCAAGACCGCATCCGCCGACTGACCCGTTTTGACGCAACCAACCATCACATGGCTGTGGGTCAAAAAGTAGGGTGACCCCAAACTGGCACCTTGGTACATGGAACCAAAGACTAAAACCTGCGTAACTCTGGGCCACACCCACATCGACTTTCTGCCTATCCTCCTTGCCCTGCACCAAAACTTCGCTGAAGGGCGTCTGAGCGAGCGACCGACAGCGCCGTGGGCATGTACATTAACAGAACTCAACCTGGCTCGACGCCCAAAAAACCCACGGGCCAGCAACCAAAAACCCGCGGGCTTGGATGCGAAACAAATAGAGGATCACGAGAAGTCATATTATTCGGGCCTCCCAGAAAGTTTGGACATCCATAAATCTGTGGAGTTCCAACAAACCTAGCCTGGCATCCGCTTGAGAAACAGCGTGGATGCTTATTTTGGAGGCGGGGTGGTGACAAGCGTGCCATCGGGCTTCTTGAGGCGGGGATGGGTCGCTTTCGGCGGATCTTTTGCTTGGACATTGAAGCGGCTCACGTGACAGCTCAGTTGGCCTCCTATAGTATGGTAGGGAAACTATCGTTGCTCAAAAGGTCAAAAGGATTAAGGATGTACCAAACAGCAACCAAGACACAAAGGAGCGGCTGACAGGACGGTGGCCGCAGAACCACCCAAGCAGGGCACTTGGATCACACCGATCTTCTTCCTTCTTCGCTTTCAGAGATGTTTGTTCGTTGTGTGGCAAAGCACCGAAGCATACGGATTTGGGTGCCCACACCAACAGGCATCGAGGCACGATGCTCGGAACCCATCTTCCGTCGTCAGATCAGGGCCGAAACCTGTTCTTTTTGACGTCACGGACACTCACAGACAAATAAGAAAGCTGGAGAAAAGCGGGCGGAACCAATTTCCGGGTGCCGGGAATTCACCTCTCCCAACTGAAGCCCCCGCCTCGTTTCCTCCGGCCGAGCCCAGCTTGAGTCGAATGCGGCAAGCCACGCATCAACTCAATGGAGCAGAACTTACCTTCTGGGCGACGAAGGGAGTCGAAAAGCCAAAGGCCCATCTCAACGGGTGAGCTCCAAACCAAACGAGCTTCACTCACTGATCTAGAAATGAGAGGCTGGATCTTTTGGAATCACGGATAATGGGTATGTGTATGTGTGAAAATGTGGAGACCACAGGGGACTTGTCTTATTCTGTGTGTTCTTCTTTCTTTCTTTCTCTTTTTTTTGGGGGGGGTTGGGTTGCCTATTGGTGTCCATTGAAACCAGGCTTAAGAAGGGTACCCACCCAAAACCAGAAACCAACAAGCATGGAAACGGGCAGGCCTCGCTATGATGGTCTTCCGACGGAAAGAAAAACCCACAGTTTCTCCATAGAACTCCTCCTGTCATTCAACTTCGAAATGAAACCACTGTACCACTGTACCACTGTACCACTGTACCACTGTACCACTTGAAATGACGCTTCTCCATACCAACATCGCGGCCACTTAAGGCGTTGAGCCGTGGTTACCAATTCAGCAACCCCGCGTGTGAAATCTAGCTCCACTGTTCTTTTTTTGTGGGTGACCAATTCGTTGAATGGGTTCTAACAAATGTCGCCGAGAGACTCATTCAACGCCAAGGCACCGGCGGCTTTCCCCAGCAAGACCATTCTTGGAGCGCCCCCAAGCCCTAACACCCGCCTCGCGCTGTGAAATCCAAAGACAGCCACGGAAGTTCCGATGGGAACCCAGGATTCCCAAAACGCCCCCTACCTTTCCCCTTGAAAGAACAGAACCCTTGCCCAAACCAAAGTTGGGGTTTTGAGCTCAAAAGGCATCCCCGTGAGCATAGGGAGAGACACCGAAAACAAAAAACCAACCTAAAACCAAGCCGCATTGGTTCTTAGGGAGGGGTTCCTAAACTAGATCCTCCAGTAGAGAGGTTAGAATAAGGGTACCAACTTTTTTTCTGTCTATTTTAGTACCCAACCAAAAAAGGGGGGTAAAAGGGCGCCTAGCTGGGGAACCTGGCCAAGGCACCGTCTTGGCTTTCCCCAGCCAAAACCAGTGGACGATCGGAGGTAAGGGTGTGGCTCAAAATTAAGCCGGAGGGGCAAACCGCAGGTTTTGGTCCATGTTTCCACTTGCCCGGGCAACCAAAGGAACCCAACCCCCAAAAACTCGAGCGCTCGGATCGCCGGCATTTTTGTCAGGCGAGGCTCGCCAGCAGCTGCGCCTTGCGCTGCTCCAGCACTCGCTGGCAGGCCTCGATCGGTGGCGGTGCCATAGCTCGCTCTTTGTTTGGTGGGCGTGGACCCGTGAAATCCAAGGGGTGGTATCTAAAACAATGGGAAAAAAGCGGGTTAAAACGATGAAAACGGTGGTAGGTAGTATTTAGCATCGTAGCTAATCTTCTGAACACATGGTGTTCAAAAGAAAAATAATATTATATAAGATATAAGTGATAAGGATATCAACTAGTTGGGAGTCCGTGTTGGCTGCATATGCACAAGGGTTTTCGCATGTATCCACCGGAAAGCGCCGCAAATCGGTTCTGTTCCACAGCCCCTCGAGCTCCGAGTCGATTCGGATTTCCCCCCGGCCTCGCCATGCCGCACCTTCCCCAGGGACAAAACGGACCTCGGCCGCGGGATGCGACAAACCAACGCCGCGACCCGAAGGCCAAAGGTTTGGGACACTCCGTGAGGCGTCCTCTCTCGTGGCAAAGAACGAAGCAAAAAATGCCCAGTGATGGATTCCCTTTAAAACCAACAAGGGAAAAGAAACACATATTCAGATCAGCAAAGAATAACATATTCAGGCCGCAAGCAATAAAGAGCAAACCCCCAAGTAGGCAGCAATCTTCACTCGTTTCTGGGACAGATTTCCATCCCTGCAACAACAAAAGTGTCCCCTGTTTCTGGTCCCCGGCCATTCGGCGGTTCCGGGCGCCCTGCTCGCACCAGTCGCTTCCCGCCTGAGGTTCGAGGCTCGTCCCTATGAACCAAAAAGCGGATTGAAAACTGCCAAGGGAAGAAATTAGGGGGAACCCTGTCCAACACCTAAAAGGGGTCAGGGATCGCCAGCCTTTTTTTTTCAGGGTGTCCGGCATGGTCCTGCGATAGACGACCAAATAATGTCCTTGCAAGACGTGCTCCAAGATGCCTGCTGCGCATATGCCGCGTTTCCGCCATGTCCGCCATGGACACATGCCATTGGGTGGTTTTGCAACCACGCTGAGACAAAACAAGCACGAAACGGGTACGGATGGCCACCGCTCAAGATCCATGGCCCCTTCGTCTGGTACGGATAGCCAGCGCCAGTCAGGCAGACCAATGGAGGCCGAAAATGAGGAGTCGGGTGTGGACCAGAATCCACCTTTGCAACATGAATGAAACCCCAAAAGGAAGCAAACCATCTGTGCGGGATTTGGTCTATCAACTGTTTGTTTGGAGTCAAAGCTCGGTGAAACACTCGAAATGGTTGCCGTGGTGTTGGCATCTTTTTGTCAAATCATCCCCGGAAACGGTCGGATCCCGACACTGCCATCCCCGAATGTCAGTTTCATCTGGTTGCAGAAGTGGGACATTTCGATGCTTCCAGAACCGGCCAGCGCCTCCACTACCATTTTGTGGGTAACCAAGACGAACCACTCGTGCAGAACAAATGGCCATGGGTCAAAATCCAAATCGTACCCCTGTGAACATCCCAATCCCCACTAAAATAGACTAAGAAAAAGGTGGTGCACCTACCCCAAAATGGTTCCGTTGGTATTGACCCCCAAATCAAGGAACAATTGTTTACCTACTAGCTACATTGCCAACTAGGATCCACCAGGCGTTTGTTGCGGCAGTCAACATGCTGGGGATCGAGTGTCTTTCTGAGGGTACCCCACCCCTCACCGCTCGGTTGAGAATGTAAGAGGGAAACGAAAGGCAAGTCAAGGGAAAACCAAACCAAAGGATAGCCAAAGAAAGATCAAGAGGAAATCAATAGGAAGCCAAAGACCAAAGAACACTTGTTTCTTGAGGGCTTTCGAAATCCCAGATATTTTAAGGCAATCCTCCGAATCTGCTTCTTAACTGCTTCCCCCTGACCAAAAGGTCGTCAGACCTTTGGTAGGTTTAAAGGCCATTTGTTGCCAAAAGGTCTCTGCTTTTGCACGGTTACACCCAAGCCCGCTTGACAAAGAACATGGAGAAAAGAAAGACTAAGAAAACATGGGGGGTCTGAACTAGGCGCGCCCCCAAAATTGGCGGCTTGTCTTTTCGGCTTCCCGCTAGAACCACAAAAAACAGTCAGGGGTACCCTGAGAAAGGAAAAAAAAGAAGGAGAGAAAAAAAGAAGAAAACAAAAGAAGAACAAAAAAAACAAAAACAAAAAAACATGCCACATGGTCTCTGGCGCTCTTCGAGTCGACTCCTTTCTCGCCTGCGCATCGCTCGCCAGGCGCAAGGCCTCCGACAGCGGCACCTCGCGCGCTCGAGGCGTCAGGGGCTGAGACGTGATGCGCGAGCGAATGGGTTCCAACAAATGGGGGGGCGGGGGGGGGGGGGAAGTCGGAAGGGTGGAAGTCTGGACGGGAATCCCAATTTGCAACCACCTGTTTTCCCGATGGCATGGCGAAGGGTTCTTCCGTTGGATTCATGGGTATCATCATGAGAGTCATTGCAGAGTTATCATCATTGCACAGAGTCATCATCATCATGAGAGTCATTGCACAGAGTCATAGCAGAGAGTCACTTGCGAGGAGCAATGCTCGTGAGAGTCACTGGCGGGGAGCAGCAATGCTCATGAGACTCACTTGCGAGGAGCAATGCTCGTGAGAGTCACTAGCGAGGAGCAATCCTCATGAGGGTTCTCACTCATGACGAGCTTTAAATTCCTTTCTTCTCTTCTTAGGGCGGCGGGGTAGGGCCGACAGCACTCTACAAAAATCAACCCTCTGCGGAGATTCGTGTGGTCGAGGTCAAAAAACTGAGGACTTTTTACGATTTCTGATCTGTGCGAGCGACCCTCTGCGGAGATTCGTGTGGCCGAGGTCAAAGAACTGAGGACTTTTTACGATTTGTGCGGTGCGCGCGCAACCTTCTGGGGAGATTCGTGTGGCGAGGTCAAAAAACTGAGGACTTTTTACGATTTCTGCGGTGCGCGCGTGACCCTCTGCGGAGATTTGTGTGGTCGAGGTCAAAATCGCAAAAAGCCCTGTCTCTTGACCTCGACCACACGAATGCACCGCAGAAATCGTAAAAAGTCCTCAGTTTTTTGTCATTCCAAGATGAACCCTTTGCGGGGATCGGCGTTGTCGATGTGCCGAAAACTGAGGTTCTTCGATTCTGAATATGCTCGCGCGACCCTCTGCGAGGATCGTGGCGCCGTGCGAATTTGTTGCTTGCGAAGTGGTCTTTGGAAGTTGTCGCGTGGTTTGCGCGGCTGCTTGCTCTCGGAGTCGCGCGGTCGCGGGGTCGATCCCCGCCTGGTCCGCGGAAGCTTTTCTAGACCAAGTACAACTGTAGTACGCGGAGTACAGTTTTGCAGCTCCGGCTGCATAATGGAACTTTTCAATCAGAAAATACGTGCTTGGCAAACTCGTGTGAGGGGGGGTCCGATAGGTGGCAAGATGGCAGGAACAAGGTTAGTTGCTGTGTGTTGCTCGTGACCACATCGAGCAAAAAACTTGCGCGGGAATGACCGCGCTTTCGGGCCAACCATGGTCTAGTTCTTTGTAGGGTATGGGCTCTTGAGGATCGAAGGTGGGGAAATGGATCCGTGCCAAGTGCCCTGAAAGACCAATATCCTAAATCTTGGTTGACGTTGGAAGGGGAGCGGATTTCAACCCCTAAACCACAATAAGCAAAAATGCAAAATGTTTCCCAAACAACCATGAAATGAGAGAGGTTGCAAAATAGGCCCTAACTGTCCACCATAGAGGCCGGGGGGGGGGGGTTGCTCACGTTCTTTTCGACCCCCTTTTTTGGACCCCCATTATATGCGCCAATGGCATCAAAGGCAGTAGATACTGCAAGCCCGTTGTCATCCACCCAGAAGGTGTCCAGAAAATGCATGGGCAAAATCGAGAAAAATGCGCCATGGCTGGGCGCGCCATACTGAAAGATAGCAATTAATGAATGCTGAGATGTAGTAATCAAGTGATGACTAACTCATACAGCAAGAATCTCTGCTATAAGCCCAGGAATATGAATGGTGTACTGCTGATGAGCATCATGATGCAAGAGTAGCATGCAAGCATATTTCTCGCGGTCGGGGCGCAGTTACTCCACGACTTGTCCGGGCTCAGCGTCAAAAAGAGTCAGCATACCAATGAGAGATGAACAAACAATGAAAACGTGCGAGAATCCTAAGAGATGGAACAGATTGGCTTGCTGACATGCAGCGGCATTCAAATCTACATGTTCTCGAGACTCATCAGGTCATCAAGACTCACGAGAGCACCGGGAGGTGACGACTTGGCGGGCGTCTCTTTCGAGCTCATCGGGGTGCTTGGCAGAGGGGCTGTCGGCAAGGGTGGCGGGGGCGGAAGCGGCGCCAGCTTTGCGGAAGTTGCCTCAGGCACGGAGCCAAGCGTGGACGGGAAGGCGCGAGGCAGCCCCTCTGGCGGAACAACTCGAGAGCGTAAGCGGCAGAGAAATGGCAGGGACGTCGGCTTGCTCTTCGGCTGCGAAGGTGAACTGCAGTCTTGGCGGGAGGCGGTGCGAGAGCCAGTGCCGGCGGCGGCGGAGGCAAGGCCTTGTATGGAAAAGGTCCAACTGCCCCAGTGGGCCAGGAGCCTTGGTGCGACGACTCTTGTGGAGGCTGCGGGCCATGTTCCCGATCGGGTGATGGGAGTGGTGGGGCGGGCAGGTGGCGTAGGCTTGGCCAGTGAGGGAGTTGGCTGCCTGGGGCGGCGCAGATGTCGAAGGTGCAGGGGTGCTGCCGGTGAGGGTTTCCGAGATCAAGATGGCCAAGCGCCCAAGGTTCTCGCTGCCAATGGAGAGCAGGTTAGCGGCAGGGTTTCCTTGCGCGTACGGAGCAGCTGCACAGTGAAGGCAAAGGCTGAGATCGGGGTAGGCTGTGGCGGGAGGTTTCCACGCTTGGTTGGTTTGCCAACGGGCCCGAAGGCCGTGGCGTGAGCGTTCCGTTGGCGTGGCGTTGCCAACAGCGTGGAGCACAGCTGCCCAAAGCCAGGAGCTCGTTGAGCAGAAACGTCAGCCATGGTGCAGGGAGGAGCGTCTGAGCGCTACGAGTGGTGGATGGCATGGTAAGAGGAGCATCGCTCAAGACGCCGTATGCTGGGAAGAGCTGACTGAAGCAGTTGCGCCTTGAGCTTGGTCGTGAGGGGTCTGCCATCCGGGGTATGCCCCGTGTTAAAGGATTCCTCCCCAGTAGCGTGCCCTCGCGCACGTCTTGTTTGTGAGCTTCACCTGAACGCCTCGGCAGTGACTGGCTTGAGGCCATTGAGTTCCGGACACGAGGCAAGGATTGTGCCGAAGGCTGTGGCCATTGCCCTCGTCGTAGTACGCACGTCGGCAAGGAACTGATTGTGCAGAGTCTCCTCTGTGGTGGGAGCGGGTGGAAGCTGCGCCAACCGATCGCGGGCGAAAGGCTTCAGGAACGCTGAAAGGTCACTGGACGCCAACACGCCTGCCGAGGCCTTCTCTGTGTTATCGCACCAGCCCGTGTAGAGGGTGCACAGAACGCCGAGCCCATGGCCAACCGAAAGCAGGTGCCCCACTCCGGAGCCGCAGTTCTCCGCGACAACTGCGCGCTCCTCTTCAACACATCTTAGCGTGCGTTCTTGTGTCCTGCTCTGCTCTCGCCTTGAAGATTTTTTGTCTCGGGCCTCCCCCACTCCACTCTCAGCGTTGCCCATGACAAGAGACACCGAGCTTGAAGCTCGGCCCTCAGACATGATCGGCTTCTTCAGCACCCCGGCGCATCACCGCCAGATACGGCTGCCGATCTCTCTGTCATCACTGAGGCCAGACACCACAGCTCAACACTCAAGTCAACTCAACTCAACCTCGCAAAATTCAACTCTTCGGTTTCTCAACTCAGAAGACAAGAAACCAGTTCCAAAGGTTCCAGAGTGTTTCCTCAAAACAACGGTTGCAACGGGCTCCCTCCTTTTCAAGGCCCAAGCACGTGCAATGGCACAGCTATCAGCAAGAGGTGTGTAATAGCACGATCTAGTTTCAAGCGATTGACTTCAACCACTCTTAGGGTCTAGGAAATGTGTGGGAAGAATGCTGCTTCCGTCATAGTTGGGGAGGGGTAGGGGCCTGGTTGGTAGACATTTGGGGGCTTCGGAAGCATGTTTAATTAAAAGGTGTGATAGATTCCTTCAAAGCCTCCTTTCCCCGCTGGTCAGCACGGCGCCCAACACAATATCTGAAATTTGTTTGTTCTAGTAGTGGAATTGAGGCCTGTGAAGTAGCTATTGTTGTCCAAGAGCTGCTGGTGACAATGGGAAAGCACGTGTTACGCTACAACTACTATCGCGTCAAGGACTGCACAGCGGCAAGGCACAAAATCAGTACAGAAGCACCAGCTAGCAAAACACCCAGTTGCGAAATGGAAAACACCCAGTCCACTCTGAACATGCTTCCAGGCGAAGGCGCTTGCAAGCCACGCGCTGCTCTTCCACAACGTCCGCCCACAGCAGCCCTGCGGCGAGGGAGTACACCTTGGTTGCTTCGCACTGTCTGCGTGGTGGCATTGTTAGCGATCCTGGCGTGCGCGATGGGGCTCTTTGCTGTCAGCTTTTCTGCTGAGCAAG